TATATATATATTAATCTATACAAATTAATTTACCTATAATTAACATAGATTAATCCAATTAACATATATTACAGTTGTTTAATAACTATATGTTATTATATATTATTTTAATAGAAATTTTAACTAAAAAATATAAAATTTTTTTCAATAAATTTATCATTATTCTACTATTGCTTAATATACACACAAAAAGATAAAAAGATATATAAGATATTCTAAGATATATATTATCTTATATTTTCTAAAACATTTATAATTTTTTTTATGTATAAAAATTATAACATATAAAAATTAATTTATAAACATATATCTTAAATGTGTTATTGAATATTTTATGATACAAAAATAAATATATATAAATGTCTAAATACAACTCTATATTATATTTATAATATGATTTATTGATAATTTAGATTATCGAATTAAAGCTTTATTATATGTTTCATATACATTTGAATTTACAAATTTGTCACGAATGATTTCGACAATTGGATAAAAATGAAGAGGTAAATTTTAAATTTAGAAATAACAATTAAATTATTAGATATATTATATATTATATATATAAGTTTTATTATAATTTTTATTATAAATTTAGAAATAACAATTAATTATTAGATATATCGAAAATTAACTAAATCAACAACTAAATCAACAAATTTATATCGATTCAAATAAAGAGAAGGTAAAAGAGAGACAGAAATACAAAATATAATTTTTTTAAAAATTATTTTTTTTAATATAAACAAAGAAAAATAAACAATTTCAATATGTCAAAACATATATCACATATATTAAATTAATTTCATTTTTTAAATGAATGAAATTTATAGTTATCTGAAATAAATTTCATATGAGGAATATTTCTTATTCCAATAGGATTTGGATATTTCATTTCATAATACATAATATAATAATTATAAATAAAATCGAAATTTGTAAAATTAATAGATTGGAATAACTGAAAATAAAATTTAAAAAAATAGATATTAGATGTCGCTGAAATTATTTTTGTAATATTTAAAATTGTAAAAAAATAGAAAAAGTGGATTTTTTCGAAATTTTTTTCCTATCTACATCAAGCATTAACAATGCTTTACAAGTTATCTAGGTTAGAATATAAAGTATAGTCACCTTTTAAATGAAATCAATACGTTAGTTACATTTTGCTTTGTGAAATGTGAACAAATGTTCTCTCTCAGTTATAAGAAATAAAAATATTTAATAAAAAATTTCCATTTGTGAAAAATTATAAACAAATAACTAAGAAAATAATATATTTGTTATTTGAAAATTATCTCGCGATACTTATTATAATAAAATAAACTGATTCAAAATTTAAAAAATTTTTTAAAATTGAAATATTATTAAAAATTATATATTAAAAATTAATTAATAAAAATAATAGAAATTGCATGTAAATATTTTTTAAACAAAGTACACATTTTTTTCTATTCCGCAAAAAATATTCTACATAAGAAAATAGAGGAAAAAAAACATCACATATCTCTAGAGATATGATTTCTTTTTTTTATCTTACTTATACAAGGTATTCTTAGCGATATTAAATACAAATAAAAAAATATTTGAAATAAATTTTATTAAATTTATTAATAGTTATTTAAATAACAAAAAATTAATATATATACTGTTTCATTTTAGAAAATGGAAAAGAAGAATTTTCAAATTTCAAGATATACAAAAAATTTGTTGTATCTTATATTATTAGATTATTCTATATCATTTCATTTAATTAAAAAAAAATTTAAATATCCGCAATAATTTTGGAGAAAATAGTATTTGTAATATTTTATGTACTTTGTTCTTTATATTGTCTTTCTCTTTTATTTTCTCACTAAAAATTGTTTAAAATTCTGGAATAGTATTAAATACATGTTATCAAATATAAAAATAGAATACATGTTAAATATGAAAATACTGATTATTTTATTTAAAATGTTTGTAATTAAATAAAAATCTTCTATTCTACTCATTAAAGAGAATTTTTCGTTTCCTACAAACTATAACTTCTTCATTTTTATCAAATCAACAATTCATATTCCACGAATAATTTGCATTTTTCTCTTTCATTAAATCCTTCATCACATCCTTAAAATCTTAAAAATTTCGAATTCAAAACAAAATACAACAAAAGAAGCGTTGCAGCATATATATTTTTCTTAACATTATCTCACGTTTTAATTCTTACGAAACAAAACTTGAAATGTCGTTCACGATAATGTCATCGCGTTCCTCGAGAAGTTAACTTAATTGAGGGAGAATTTTTACGGCATTTATCACAGTAATGAGTTTCGAGTGCATTCATTTAACGCTACTTCGCAGCATCGAACACTGTCTTGTCTCCTTTTCGCGATGACAGTTTTTCCCTATTTCCGCTTTGTCCGCCTTCCGTGCCGTTTTCCTCTTTATCCCGAAAAGGTGGCAACCCGGTGTCGTATCGAGGGCTGAACCATCATTCATTGAATTCTTGAGAACCGAAGAAGAAGAAGAAGAAAAAAAAGGAAGAGGAGAAGAAGAAGAAGAGGAAGAAGAAGAAGAAGAATCTCGAGAGGAATCGTGCCGTAACTTCCTCTACTCGAGCACGCCGTTCTTCTTCGTGACTTCTTGAAAATAACGGAATAATTGAAAGGCAGCAATCAGACGACATGGAGGCGAGAACGAGTATAAAGATTGGTATGGAACTATGCAATTTTAACGACCTCTTCTCGCTCTATATTCGTGGATACATACGCGATCACTCGACCCAATAATCCGTCGAAGCCGAAGCGGATCCTGTTTTAGACGCAATTGCCACGCATCCTGTTCTCTTAACTCGTTCTGTTCTAACTCTTCGCGTCCGCATTAACATTTTCGATACCGAAATAGATTTTTACGGTCGTGAAATGAATTCGGCCTCGTGGTATAGATTCTCGGTTCCAGTTCTCGGTTTCTAGTTACGAGCTGAGAGAAGGTTCGTGTTTTACGAGCGGGTTGATAAATAGATAGATACAGTGAGAGAGAAAAGTATTGTCGTGCTTGAATTATGAAAATTCTGTTTTTATGAATGAAATTTAATGAGTATAGAGAATTATGAATTATATAAATATTATAATATATTTAATTAATATAAATATAAGTAAACATTATTTATGTGAAAACGTGCGATCAACCATTGACAATTTTTCTCCATATTTTTGTCGTGATTTATGAATAATGGAATATGTACACAAGATGTTAATATATTTGGAGGATGAAAATGTGAAATTAAGATTTATAAACAGATATAAGCAGATTTTTATGCAGTTAAAACATCAGCTCAAATATCGTGTTATTCAAAATATATATTTTTTTAAAAATTTATCATTTTATGTAATTAATTATATATATAAAATATATTTTATTTTGTATAAAAGAAAAAAGAATCTTTTACAAGATATAATATATTGTCTTTCTACTTTTTCTACAAATAAATTAGTCAAAATTTTTCCAATCTTCAAACAAAAGTTTTATTTGAAATATGGTTAAATTTGTTTAGAATATTCGATTATGAACGAATAAAATGTCAAAAGAAAAATATGTATTTGCACAAAAATCTGCAGACTAATTATAATTAAACTTTGCGTTAAATAAAGCGAAATAAAATTTATATATTTATGTCTTCTTTAAAATCTTCTGATATATTACAATATAATAAGAACTATATATAACTTGGTAATAAGAATGTTCCATAGTAGGAACAAAATAACAGCAACACTGTTCAGAGCTTAAAGGATTAAATAGTTTAAAATTAAATATCTTGAAATATTATTAATATTATATCAATCGTATTATTTAAAAATTATATAATTTTAATAGAATTAAATGCTTTTTAACAAATTATTTATTACAATACATTTACAATTACATAATGAAATATTTTTAGATAAGATACAAATTGAATTAACGTTCAAGTTATATTAATAGTAAATAATAGATTATTTAAAAATATAAATATCTTTTTCAGAAAAAATAAAAATCTTTCTTTCTAATACAAACGAACAAAATTACAAATATTAATAGTATAAATTGAAAATTCAATTTAAATTGATGACAATGGCTTGACGAGATTTGAAACATAGCTTACATATTATTAGCTAAACGATTAAGTTACATTAATTTCTATATTTATTATTTATATAAAAAAATTCAAAAATAATTCTCATAGTATATATAACTCTCTCTAAATATGTGAATACTTCCTTAATCGCAACATATATTTAAAAAAAAAGTTAAAAAATCTATAATATACTT